GGGTGTGTAATCAGCGTGGCCTGTCCAATCTGTCCTGCCTTGGTCCTGCCCTGATAGTGCGGCCGTTGGAATCCTTCGTGATAGCGACGGTTTCATTTATGTTTTGAGTTTGTAGGCGAGGGTTTTTGATCCGGATGGCTGAGTTTTTCCCTTGCACCCGTTGTTGTATGAGTAACTTAAGTAGATCCGGAGTATCCATGCCCCACTGATGGTTTGTCAATAGCTTGACGAACCGGGGAGGGTGTTCGTGTGTCTGGATACGAGCATGGTAAATCTGCTAGCAGCACGGGGGTGGGTACGTAGACAGGAGCATGCGTATGCCTGAAAGAGGCTACTATGTGTGGGCCCCCTTCCCCGAATTCGGGAGGGCCACTTCTTCCCTTCCTTTCCTCGCTCCCGCGGGTGCCTAATCAGAGAGAGTTAAAGCGTGTCTTCTCCTCCCAAGTACAGACATACCAACATAAATGTCCCTTAACTGGGTTTGGGCCGGCGTTTCCGAACCCTGCCGGACCTTGGAGGTTGGCAACGGTGCGCCAAACCGGGTTGCGCAGGTTGTACAACGCCTAGGGGTTACAGGTCACTGCAACCCCCCCGTAACCGTGCCCACTGGCCACCTGTGCAGGGAGAAAGCGAGGAACCGACTGGGAAGGACAGCAACGAGAGCGTGTACGAAGCGGAACGGTTCGAGTTCGGTCGTGCTAGGACTGGCCACAGCGGCACCGGAGCAGCGGCACCGGAGCAGCGGCACCGGAGCATGCGGACGGCATCGAACCGTGGCGCACGAACAAACATCTCTCGTGCTGTCAATTATTATTTATTTTCTTGAAGTATCACACAACAACAAATATATCCATCTCTTCCATCTCGCTAGAAAATATATACCATGGTATAGTCTTTGGAAATAAGTCAAGATAGACTAGCAATGAATCCATACAGATGGCACCCGCACTTACGAACCTCCAGTTTCGGCCGAAGCTGGGGTTCTTATGTTGCCTTTCATCCTCTCGTGGGCTACAAATCGCCACTATCTAGGTTTAGTGTTGGGATTCTTAACTGGGCTCACAAATGGTGTTCAAGTTCTTAGCTTCTGATTTTTTTCGAGTCTCAATTTCTTAACTGCCAAGTTCTTAAGTGCGGGCGCTATCTGTAGCGTGAGCAAAAAAAAGCTACCTGTCTGTATGTCTACGGTTTCGCAGACAGCATACAACGATGTCTCCCCTGTGGGTGACAGGCTCAATAAGGCAGTTTGGTAGCCATGCTGTGTATCTATCTGTCTCATGTTATTATGTTGGGAAGTTAGTTGCAGACGGAAGATTTAGGGGAACTCGGTTTGTCGGGTGTTCTACATCTATATTAAAAATATGTATGGGACCCTTATTGTGTGGTTGCGGAGCAAGAGCGACTCGGGGTGTGTGTATTTTCGTCAACGTATTTTTTGTGTGTGATGTATGGGGGCATGTGCGGCGCGGGAGAACATGTTTGTTTACCGTGTTGTGTATGGCATGTCGTTAAATTAAATGTGAGAAGGGCACGGGAGAACATTACCTCATCATTGATTGATTGCCTCCTGTTTTCCGTTTTTTTCTGAATATAGGTAGGTGTTGTTGGGTGATGACGTCGTCACTGGTTTTGTAGAGAGACGCGGCAGAGATGGCGCGGATATCCCGGCTGCCTTAATTGTGTACCTGCATCGTGGAAGACCCCTTCAATGTGGAACGATTCCTAGTCAGATCCTCAGCGAACAAACATGTGCACATCTTGTCCTCGCTTCCGGAGCGTGGACCACTCATCTCCTCACGGACTCGGGCCAAGACTACCACTGCTTCCGGTGGTACCGTCACCGGCCCAGCTTACTTCGGACGTCAACCGCGGGCTACCATCGTTTCTCGAACGCCGTCGCCTGTCCGTCGCTCTAACAGGTCTCGTACAAAAACCAAGACCACCCGGGTCATCGCGCATTCGCCGCACCCATCCGCGACGCTCGCGTCGGCATCTTCGTCGACTGTTTCCGCGCCACCGGCACCTTCGTCATCATCACCGTCTTCAGCGTGCTCTGTTTCGCCGGTTTCGCCTTCTTCACAGGTGTCGCCCACGTTTTCGTCTCCCGCGGCGCCGTTGTCGCGCGTGGAGGTTGCGGCTGCTTCTGCAGCCGACACATCATCTTCTGCCGCTCCTTCCGCCGGATCGCCTGATTCTCTTTTGGAATCACTCGCCTTAGACACTGCTCATCTGCGGGACTGCGTCCAGAGTTTTAGAGCTGTGGATTGGGCTCGGGAACAGCAACAGGATAGCGAATGTGTGGCGGCCATGCGTTTTCTTTCCCGTGGCTCTCCCTCCCCACCTCCCCCTGATTTGCTGACCCTCGTTGCCCCACTTCGTTCTCCCCGGTTCGACGACGTGTTGGCGCTGGCGGCGAAGACCAGGTTGCACACGACCGACGACAACGTCACTCTTCTCGTGCACAAATCAGCGCCGTCGCCGGTTGGACGCTCTGGGGGTAGGACCACTCGCTTGCCGAATACTGGAGTCCCTCGTGTATACGTGCCGATGCTCATGCGTCCGTGGGTTTTGCGTGCTTGCCATACCCACGCGTTCTTCCATTTGGGTGTTCACCGTACACAGCGGCTGCTCGAACGTTTTTACTGGTGGATTGGTGTGGATCGCTCCGTGCGCTGGTGGCTCCGATCGTGTCTGGTGTGTCAAGCCCGCAAGACTTCACGCCAAACTGCTCGGTGGCCCATCATCGCTATGCCGCTGCCGCAAGGGCCTGGAACTGTCGTCGGCGTCGACTTCTTTGGGCCTCTGCCATTGACTGCCAAGGGCAACTCTTACATCTTGCTGTTCACCGACCGCTTCAGCCGGAGAGCCGACATGTTCGCTGTCACAGCCGCTGAGTTTACGGCCAAAAGAACGGCCAACATCTTCGTCAACCAGTACATGACCAAGTGGGGATGCCCGACTACGCTGTTGTCGGACAAC